CCCCAAAACCCCAAAACCCCAAAACCCCTCAATCTAGCCATAGAATGAATTTATAAAATTTGATTTTTTAATTATATTTGTTTGTTGAGATTTAATTCTGCTTTTGGAATTCGTGAATAATGGGCAATTCAAGTGACATATTTCTTAAATGCTACAATGAACTTAAGCACTTAGAGGAGAAACTCAAAGATCAATAGAAAGAGAAATCATAGAGAATCATTAAGAGAAAGTCTGTTGAAAAGGTATTTTCCTAAAAATTTTATTATTCATAGATAAGCGAGAAAATGAAAATAACAAAGGAGAAAATTGAAGATAAGATGAGATTTTTAGAGGAATTAGCACAGAAAATGTAATTTCAGGAATAGCTTATGTAGGATTTAATCAAAGATCATTTTAAATTATTTTAGCGAGGCAGAGTTATACAAACTCCGAATGAGAAAGTTCAATAAGATAAAGCCCAGGATAGACAAATTGATGACATAGAGAGTCCTCTGAGGAATTTCTGATGAGATTTAATTACTTTACTTCAACAAGAGTAAAACATTAATCGTGATTATGATTGATGCAGAGCTCTTATAATTTTATTTTATCATTATTTACTTAATACTAAGATACATTAAAAGCTCATTAATCTAAGTTATTTTATTCCAAATCTTAAATATAGATTAATATGAGATCATGAAATAGAAGACGCCTTGATGAAATATTGCTGAACTCAATAGACACCATCAAGATTACTCTGCTTATTCAAATGACTCTCAATACTTCGGTCAAAAAGGTTTCTTGATTGAGAGTAGTCCTTGTTCCATCTCTTCTAAGGCTCTTTTATTGATATCAATATCTTTATCAGTCATCACCTTTACCTTAATTGTACCTTTAAATATCTTTTGATCCTCTATTTGCTTCTCTAATTTTTCCTTGTATGCTCTATTTTTATGATCAATCTCTGCTTTTCTAATTTTTTCTTGTTCCTCATGAACTTTCACATCGTCATAAATGACTTTAGTCACCTGATTTTCTTAAAATTTGTCAAGAACCTTTTACGCTTGCTTCTCCTGAATTTGCTGATCTAAGAACTTTTTAATTTGCTTCTCTTTATTCTTGAGTTCTTGCTTCTTTCTATCCTCTTGCTTCTCTAGGTATGATTATTTCTTTAGACTGTTTAGATGCTACTGCTCCAATTACGTAGTTCTTCTCATCTCTTCAGTTGCTAGCTTATCTTTGATCAAATCAACCTTCTGGTCACTTTGCATTCTCTTTTGATAGGAGGCATGCTGTTTTTCTATAAACATCTCCTAAAATAGATCTTGACCTGGCTAGTATTTCTAGTCCTCCATCACCTCAAGTTTTTTCTGAGTCTCCTTAATAATCTAGTTATTTTAGAATGACCTTCTATTCTCAGTAATGATACTTTGATTTCTCTTTCTTAAGATAGCTTCCTAAACTTAGAGTTCTTTCTAGACCTATTGCAATTTCATTGACTCGTAAGCCTTTTCCTTCTATTATTCTTATTCCCTTCTTTTGATTTAATCTTGAAGTTATTCATCTCTAAGAGCGTTTTCTCTCATCACCTTTTGTTTATACTATTAGTTCTTTTAATGCTCTTGCTAGGCTTCTAATTCATTTCTTTCTTTTTATAACTTCATATACTCAATCTCCTACCTTCTTTCCTCCTCTTTTGCTCTCTTTTAAGCCATTACTTAGAGTTAAAGCTCATCTTTAAGTGACTGCTTGTTTAATTAGGATCTCAATTTAGCTTCCTCTTACTCTCTATGGAATTACTAAAGATTATTTGAGACTATTTTGTTCCAATGTTCATCATCATTAGCTGAAGTTCCCTTCAACAATTATGGAGTCATATTTCCTTCTATAACGCTCGAACCTCTAACTGATTTTTAAGGAGTGTTTAGGGGATTAAACTTTTAGATAACTTAATTGCCAGTCGCTCTCATAACATTAGAGTTGGATCTGCCAGATGCTTATCCTATAGATGTTCTGGACATTTGAGATCTCATTGATTGCTAGGTTTCTGGCTGACTAAACTAACCTCCAAGTCTTGCTTACTATTTGGAGTTACTGTTATTTTATATGTCATACATCCCAAGTGATGATCTTTAAGACTATTATGCATTATTGATTGAATTCCCTCTCTCCCTCACTGATCCATTAATAGTGGTGTTCATAGGCTGAATTCCAAGTATATCTGATAGTCTTCTCTCTAGTTTAAGTAAGCTAGCCTCATTAAATTAGTCATTCTGAATGAAGTCATTCAACTCTCCTTAAAGGATATGATCTGCTTTATCATCAGACATTTTGATACCGAACTTTGCTCTAAATTTACTTAGCAGTAAGTTTCTCATTTACTCCATTCTCTGCAAATTTTTCTCAGTTCTGTCAGTTAGACTTCCTGCAACAGCTGCTGGACCTCTTTTTGGATACGACATATTTAGTGAGGATAAATGTTGTATAAATAAATGTTTATTTTTTATTTCTAGATCAATAAGACCTACATATCCTGTGATTGGGGTTTTGGGGTTTTGGGGTTTTGGGG